TTCATGCACCAGGCCTCTAGTGTATATATAATTTTCTCTATATATAATGTGACTTTATATTCATTGCTATCCATTTTTTTTACTTTCTATAAAATTACATATATAATCTTAATTGTGAAATTTCACTCTTTATATGTATAATAGTGCAATTGGATATTCATTACATTATTATAATGTAACATGTAAATATGTAATTTTTCTTTCTATATATACTGTATATATTTCTATATATACTGATCTTTATATATGAAGAGTTTAAGTTCAAAATTAGGGAGAAGTCTACATATAACTTTTTTTTTCACAAATAGTAAAGAACTCCAGTTTGCTCTAACATGGATTATATTTCAGCTACCTCCTAACATCCCAAATTACTGCATCATGATGTTTGTTTGAATTTGTACATCATTCCCTGTATAATAAGACTCTTTCTGGTCTGGTTCTGTATCCCCATCCAATTTGGGGTTTGTTATATTCCCTTGAACCTAAACTTTCTACTTTCTATCTATTTCATTAGGGAAAATATATCTTCCTCAAAGTTTGTTTTAGGTTAAAATAATTCTTTCAGGTATTTGAGAATATAGCTTTTTATGCTCCCAATAACAAAATAGCATATAATTGTATTATAAATTTTTGATTCTACCTAACAGTTTATCTCCTCTTATTCATTTAAAAAGTTGGTTGAATAAAATTTTCTTTATTCTTTCAATTAGATGAAAAGATTTTTAAGGACAGAATTTTTCTGAGAGCCAAGTTTAACATTTCAGATAGTGATTTTTTCTTTCTTTTTAAAAAAAATATGTTTTATTGATTTTGTACAGAGAGGAAGGGAGAGAGATAGAGAGTTAGAAACATCGATGAGAGAGGGTCATCGATCAGCCGCCTCTGCACACTCCCTACTGGGGATATGCCCGCAACCAAGGTACATGCCCTTGACTGGAATCGAACCCAGGACCCTTCAGTCCCCAAGCCGACGCTCTATCCATTAAGTCAAACCGGTTTTGGCCAGATAGTGATTCTTAGTTGCACGTGTATGATTGCCTAAAAACTCAAAGGGATTGAGCTTTAGAAGGGCATGTTGTATTGAGTTGTTTACTTTTTTTTCCTTTCTGAGATGTAAACTATTTGTTATTTTTTGAAACTACCAGTTCCACCTGCACTTTAGAAACAAGATAGAATGCTAAAAAGATGGCAAGATATCAAGCTATGGCTATGCTCTAGAAAAGTAACAGCTGCAAAATGAATTCATTATGATAACCCAAGTGTGCAGACATTACTTTTAAAAAAGTATTAGTGAGATACTATTCTAGAGCTCAGTTCATGCCTTCAATTAAAAGAATATATTAAAAATATGAAAAGAGTGATATTATCTATGAAATTTTGACTCATAGAAGAAAAACATAAAATAGTATGAAACATAATTTGTATAATAAATATGTTATTACCTCCTAAAATGATATCTTTATAATTATAAATCTACATAGATTATTGGTATTTCAAGTGAAGGTATGTTTTTCCTAACATCTTTGAAATGTTATTAGTTGTGAACCTCACATCTCAGCTGTATATCCTCCAAGTGACTAAATTGTATTCAGTTTTATGTATGGCATGTATGGTTGCCATACATTTTTATTGATTTTTTTTGTATGTGCCCTGACCGGGAATTGAACTGTGACCTCCTGGTTCATAGATTGACAGTCAACCACTGAACCACATTTTCCAGACACCATAAATTTTTAAGCCAGATTCCTTGTTTTGCCATTTATATAGGTATGGTAGATCCTCCAATTTTTGACTTATGAAGGATAAATAAAACAACTTAAATTTACTAATATGTTTACTATAAGAATGTTAGCAGTTTTTAAGCATTTAAGATTCCTTTGTAGCAGTTAAAAACTATGATATTTCTGAATTTTCAGTTGTATTAAGTTAAACTGGATTATAATTAATACTTCAAGATTCTCTGGCTTATCCAGCATAAATATGATATAGGTATTGAAGATAAATTTAATTTATCCTTAATATTAAATAAATTGATTAACCTTTATATTAAACCCCTAAATTTAATAGTCAAAAAATATATCCTTTGGCTTTCTGCTTACAGTTGTAGATAGTTATTGTTAATCCAATTACTAGTTTGTGATGAAGTGCTCCCTACTTACTGTATGCTTGCCTTGCTTTCACCTAGAACCTAGGGCCATTACTTTCTGTAACCATTTCAGTGAGCTGCCATAGTTTTCGGTCTGTACTGTCACCTGATCCAAGCATGCGCCCAAAACAGTCACTGTTTCTGGCTCCTGTCTGCTGAAATGCTTTGCAAAATCTTTTGTTCTTTGAGCTTTTGCTTTAGCCAAAATCCAAATTCAAGACATTCTTTGGAGTGTGGACATATGCCATTTGCTTCCTTAGCTCCCATGTTATGTAACTTGTTAGCTTTTATTAAACTTGTAAATAATTACAACAGTGGCATCCTCATGTGCACCTGCGTGGCTCGTTTGTCAAAATAAAGGCTGCTTGTGAATTTGTCAGAAGAATATGAATGCTCCACTTGTGCTGCATTCAGCTTTTTATTTTTAATTTTTTTTTAAATCAACCACATATTCTTTCATAGTGTTTGGTTTAATTATCTGATTATTTTATGTGTTATACCAAGGTAAGTTTGATGTAATAAATTTTGTATTCTATGTGATTACATGTATCTCATAGTAGTTATTATTACATACTTTTCCATTTAGACATGCTAGTCATTTCTAAATATATCTTGAACATAAACTAAGTGGCTCCCTCTATCTTTCATTAATTTGAAAAACAGTGTTATGTATTACTTCTTGTAAAATTCATTCTTAAAATAGAAAAGCTACCATATATTACTTGTGGCAAAAATGTAGGCACACCTAATGTGAGAAGATATATTTTTATAAAACCATAGTATATAATTATTTGTCTTAGCAAAAAAAATAGTTTAAACTTGCAGAAAGATAAAAGAAGTAAAAAGCAGGCCCTACTAGTGCATTTAGGAAAAGTTAGACTTTTTATTTTACAGTTTTTTATAAAAATAATTATTTTCTAAACAAATATTTCTATTATTTATGTATCTATTTTCAAAGAATAAGTAATTTAATAGGTTAAGTAACTATGTTCTAAAAATTCCCTGTTAGGGAAGGATGATATTAAATAGATGTTTTTTATACATGCCTTAAAAGAAAGAGTATGGATTTGAAAGTGTATTTGTGCTGTTAATGTCTGCATTTCAGTTAAACTATAAAGAAATTCTTTAGCATAATAATGTATATGCAAAATAGGACCACCTAATTCTCTCACACATGTCTTAATTCATAATATTAATTGCTATCACCATATTGTAGTCTTTTCTATTCTCTTCCTTTATTTTTCTCCTACTTTGACATTTTTCTCAGTTTCCTGGAGTCTGCATTTTTTTCTTTTCTTCTGAAAGAAAGTTTTAGGGTAGCTCTGTTTTGGATCCAAAGCTTTAATTCAAGAAGTGGCTGGCATCATTTGTAGTTTTGGCCTTTATGTCCTCATTTCTCCCTTTTGCTGATCTTCCTCCCGTGGAGGAAACAAAATTACATCATAGGAATGTGAGTCATAGTAAGCCTTTTAACGTTCTTTACTTTGCTGTCTTCAATATTTCACTAGTGAGTATGATTATACTTATTTTTCTTATTTTGCAAAATGTATTTTGAAAATGAATATATATTGAAATTCAAAAATGGAAGTTTGGAGATTGTTTCATTTGCAGTTTTAATAGTGCCTTATATGGGGGAAATTTACAATAAGAGCTTAATATACTATATAGAGTTAGTTTAGTTTTTTTCTATCTCAACAATTTGCCACAAAAAGAAATAAATTAGGATGTGCTCATTATAGACCATTTCTGTTTTTAACATCTTTGTACATAAAAAGCTACTATAATTTGCAGCTGCTGTTCACCAGTAGTTTGTAGCTATATGCAAGTGATTAGGAAGTATGAGTGACAGATGCTCCATTACAAAATAATATTGGATTTCTCTATGGTAATGAAATCTAATTCTGGGATTTTAAGGCATTCATTTAATTACAGAGCCATATGTGGAATTACAGTGTGCTATCTGAAATTTGTTCCTATATACAATGACCAAATTATTTGTATTAATCTTTTAAATGTATTTGTTTTCTTTATTTTGAATTGGCTAGTCCCTTTATATTTTGTCATTTTGCCTTAGGAACCACATCTTTTTAGAAGGATTGCTACAGATAGCTTTTTCTCTCTCTTTTTTAAATGTATTTTTTATTGATTTTAGAGAGGAAGGGAGAGGGAGAGAGAGAAACATCAATGATGAGAGAGAATCATTGATCGGCTGCCTCCTGCATGCCTGCTATTGGAGGGTCGAGCCTGCAATCCAGGCATGTGCCCTTGATCGGAATCGAACCCTGGACTCTTCAGTCTGTAGACTGACACTCTGTCCACTGAGCCAAACCAGCCAGGGCTTTCTCTCTCTCTTTTTTTTTTTTTAAACATCGTTAAATCTTTACCTTGGAAAGAACTCAGAACATAGTGGGTTATTAAAGATAGGTACCAGGAAATGAAATCTGAATCTAAATTAAATTTATACATATGATTCATAGTGAGTTCTCTCAGTGAGGTGAGATATAAGATACCCTCTCAATTTAAGATTAGAATCTGGAAAGTCTGGGTCTATATTTTAAGTTGTATCTAATTAAATACATCTCTATAGATGTCCTTTAAAGCAATAAAACAAATAGAACTAGGGGTTTGTTTTTTCCCCCTAGCTATCAGGCTTAAAATATACTTTTTGAGAAGTAGCATTACATTAAAATGTTAAGCTTTTGAGAAATAGTAATTTAAAGATGTGATGTTATAAAATCTGTATAGAACAGTACTTTTACTTTTGCCTTCCAGAATATGTTTATTTTAAACATTTTTCTGTTCATAAAGACAATGTACTATTGTGTAGTAAACTGACTTAAAATTTATTTTTCAGATGAACCAGAAACTCGAGATGCGTGGTGGGCAGAAATCAGACAAGAAATAAAGTCACATGCTAAAGCATTAGGCTGTCATGCTGTAGTGGGCTACAGTGAATCGACTAGCATCTGGTAAATGATGATACAACCTGCTTTTCTAGGTGTAACTTACAGATTGTCCTCTGAAAGGGGAAAAGCTTTATGCAAACATAGAGAGAAGAATAGCAGGTGATCCAGGCCCCTGACTTTAGAGTACCTCAGACGGGTTTATGTGCTATTTTTGCCCCTGAGTTGCTGTGAAATTTTGAGAAAGTTACTCCTCTGAGCCTCAGCATACACATTGAGTGAGAATATAATACTGGCACATAGCAAATATTAACTCTAGGCTGATTTTATTCCAGGTAATGACTCCATTAACTTCTTCCTCTGGGATCTTTGGAATCCTTGATCTATGTAAATAAACTGCCTTGTGTCTTTAAAGCTCATCTGTAAACTCTATCTTCTTTTACTAACTGTTACTTGACTTTCTCCTACTAACCAAATCATCATTTCTAACTCCGCCAAGCAATGAAGGGACTCCCATATTGTTAGTTCTCGAAACCTGTTTTCCTGTTTTTCATTTGAACAACCTCTTCTCCTGTAAAGTCCATGCCGTTCTACAGTTCAGACTTTTCTCCCTCCCTCCGAAACAGTCTTCTGCCTGTCTTAATTTCTTCTCTGCCATCTCCTCCAGTTAGAGTAATTATCTCACTTCTATCACCTTGGCATTGTATTTCTCATTCTTGAGTCCTCTACCTCCATTTGACTTTCAACCATCCTTTGGACCTAATTTTTACTCAAAACAGTTGCCTCTTAAAAATGTGAAACTCTTAAGATTTCATTCCTGAATCACAATTATTCTCTATCCACATCATTTGCTCATGCACATTTGGTTTGTTTGCGCCTTTATCTTAACCAAGAGTTTTTCTATCAATAGTTTCTTACTCAGGTTCTGACTTTACTTATTTCTGCCATCCTTGTGCCCTACTATTATTTTCTTCAAAAGTTTATAATAGATATCATCTAGAAACTAACCTTCTGCTATCTTATTTTCCATCTTCTGTTCTTAGATAATACTTACTGGAATTATTACATGGATAACTCTCTTGTATTTGTGGTGATCATTACTAGAGAAGAAGGATTGGACTGTCATAAATGTGGATATTACAGAGCCATGCCTGTTGCATCTTTATCTTTGCAGTCTATGTATTATCTTCTTAAAGATAATTGTAGTTGTTCTACTTTTGTTAAACTACTAACTCTATTATGCTTATCCTGCTGTACCCCCCAATATATAGTCTTGCTTCATTCACAGATTTAGGGGCACACACTTTCAAGTCCTAGGGATATGGTTTTAAAAGAAATAGTTCTTGTTATCAGATTCATATTATACTGGAGAATTATGATGAATATACATTTTATGATAGAGATATCCCAGGACGCTTTGGGATCCCAGAGGATTGGAGGTTAAGGGTAGGATTGGAAGAAAGTGTTAATGTAGTAACTGAAGCTTGAATGGAATCTTGAAGGATGAGTATGAATTACATAAATGAAGAGAAGAGGCATAATGAGAGTGTTCAAAGCTAAAAACATAACACTGGAGAAGTTTTAGATTCGGTGAGGCTGAAAATAGGTCACAGATGTGAGGTCTACAGACATGAGTCCAGTTAATTTACTTAGAAGTTTGAATTCATCTGACACAAACTCCTTTTTTCTCTATAGCTCCTTGATTCAGTGTCTTTTAGTGAGTCTCTGTTATTCTTCTGACATTCTCAGTATCTACTTGAACATTTTAAGCCTGGCCTTTCTCTAATCAAGTGATCATTTCTTTCTTGTCCTCTTAGGCTTCCCATCCATTTACACTTTGGTTCCAACCCCTTGTTCCTAGGCTGCTACTTTTCTGATTTGCTTTGTGATTTCTTTCAATAATTGTGTTGTCTACTTTTTTTTTTTTCTTTCAAATTGGGTAATATATAGTAAAGACTTTCGAAGAATTCTTTTGAATATAAATTTTTAGTTTATACATAAAACGATGTAGCTTAAGCTCCAGTTAGTATATTTTGGATATTATTTGTTTCAGATTCTTTTTATTATTGTTTATATTAAGTTTTAGTGATACAGATATATATGTAGTTTGCTTTTAGAATAATTAAATACATTTAATGTGCACTTAGAAGATTGTAATATATTTTAATGAGTTATTGCCTGATTCAACAACATAGTTACTACTTTTATTTTGAAATATTTCTGTCTTACTCAGCTTTACCATATTTTAAAGGAATTTATTGTCATTGATATTATACTTTATCTTTTACAATTTTTAAGTAATAAAGAATTCTTGTCCTCCATTTTAATAACATTACATTTCTTCTATTTTCTCTCCTAGGTTTAGGAGGTAATTGTGTGATATTATTAATATTTAGTAGAATCTAACCTGAATTTAAATCGCCACCCTTGTAATCACTCTGATATTTAACATTTTCTCAAACTTAGATTACCTAAAAATGTTAACCTTTGTTTTATTTATTTTTTCTTTTATAGTGAAGAGGTCTGTATTTTATCTGCATCTGGCACAGCAGCTGTACTGAACCCTAGATTTCTACAGGATGGCACCGTGGAGAGCTGTTTGGAACAGAGGTTGTCATGACAGCCTGGCTTGTTTTCCATAAGGGCAGAGAAGGGAGAGGTTGATTTCTTTTGTCAGAGCTGGGATAAGTCTTCTCTGTGAGGGTGGCTTACAGTAGTACAGTGTAGGAATCAGGACCAGGCACTTTATTGATTTTTACCTAATACACAGCAACGGAGCAATATTGAGGTCTGCACTATATGACACATACAATTTCTAGTATCTTGATAAGTGACATGTATGACTACCAATTACAGAATTTGAAGGAAACTTTTTTTGTTTATTACATTATAGAAACAATTTATTTGATTTGATTATTTTCTTTTATCTTACCTCTAAAACAGAAAAAGACCATGAAACAATTTTCATAAAGAGAATTCTTCATTTATAAAACCATCAAAACACTATATTATACTAAAATTATATGTTAAGCTTCATGGAAAGTGAAGTATAACTTTAAAATATATAAGAGTGAAAGTGAGCCCAGCTGGTGTGGATCAGTGGTTGAGAGTCGATCCATGAACCGAGAGGTGACTGGTTCAGTTCTCAGTCAGGGTATATGCCCGGGTTGCAGGTTCAATCCCCAGTAGGGAGTATACAGGAGGCAGCTGATAGATGATGTTTCTCTCTCATTCATGTTTTTATTTCTCTATCATTTTCCCTTCCACTCTCACTATAAAGTAAATAAATATTAAAAAAAGAAAGTGAAAGCATTAGGTAAAATGAGATTACTTTCTGGTTTATTTGATTATCAGTCCTTTTAATCTGGTAGCTTCCATAAATGTAAAAAATGCTTTTTATAAACAGATGAAATGATCAAATATGTATGCAAGAAAACTGTTAGTATGGAATCAGAATTTTAATTAGTCCTTACCCCACAGTATGCATATTTGCTTTTCAATTTTTTTTCCCAGTATTAATATACAGGGTAGGGCAAAGTAAGTTTACAGTTATTCTTGTATTATTTATTAATTACTGTATTTTCCACGAACAACTGTAAACCTACTTTTTCCCCAGGGCTGCTTTAGATTATTGAGAACTCACATGTTTCCAGAGCCCTAGAAGATGGGGCTAGGTGAAAGTCTGGGGTTCTCTATGGAGCTTTCTCTCTTTCCATTTCCATGAACCTAATTTCCTCAGACTTAATGAGTGACCAAATACTTAATCATTCTAAAATGAAATCATAAACAGCATATGTAACAAACATTTTACAATGAATGCAAAGGTTGTGGGTTATTTGTTTGTGGTTTATGTATGATATGTATGTTGTTTATGAAACTGGTATTTTGGTTTCTCAAATGTTAAAATCAGTCACTGGAAATTATAAATTTTGAAATATTTTTGGCTTGCTTTTTTTTCTTCTTGAATAAATTTGGTTTTAACCTTAATTTTTTCCTATTGTTAGGTTTTCTGATTAAAAAATGTTTTTATTAAAAATTCTTAAATTACATTTGCATTTTATCTGTCATATAATAAGGAAATACCATCTTCTTTGTCTAATGGTTTGTTTGTTTTTTTGTATCCCAAAGAAAAATTTTGAATTAATAGTGTATATTGTCAGGTGGTAATTGAACACATATGAACTGATAAAAAAAGATTTTCTATTTGTATAAGCCTTTTCTCTCACATGGTTCTCATTTCATGGTCATTTGTAATTCCTACCAGTCATAGTGGTACCCTCTGTGGTAGAAATTGTAGTGTAGTTTGTACACAAGTACTATGTATGCAATTAGTTGTTTTTTAAGAAGCACATAATTTTCAAGTGTGCCTTATTTTTCTTCTTAATGTATTCATATAGGCTAGAAGAAAATTTGCCTGCAGGCTGTGGATTTTGCCATATACCATATGATGAACTGAATATGCCATTTCCAGCTCATCTCACATATTGCTATAACTGTAGGAAACAAAAAGTTCCTGATGTTCTCTTTACAACTATAGACCTCCCAACAGATGCAGCAGTTATTGGGAAAGGTTGTCTCATTCAAGCAAGGTATGTTTGTGAAATCAGTAGTATTTGGAGTCCCTGAAAGTGTATGGGGTATGAAGCCAAGTACACCTATTTTCAAATATCTGCTCTGTTTCCTACCTGGGACCCTGGACAGGCTGGGAAGTGTCAGAACCTTGTATATTATTATAGGGAAAATTGGGAGGAAAATACCCTCATTATAAAACTTAAGTAAGTTTATATTAGTTTTAAACATTTAAATTCTGTATATATATATATATATATATATATATATATATATATTATAATTATCATTAAGTAACTTGTCGAAGGAGTGGGATGTGACTCAGTCTCAGTATGCTTTAATGACATTAAGTATATAATACATTTTGGAAATTGACATTTTTCTTTTAAAGAACAGTGATATTTAGTATTTCTTTTATTCACTTAACTGGTAAGAGTTCCTTTTATTTATTTATTTTAAAAAATATATTTTATTGATTTTTCACAGAGAGGAAGGGAGAGGAATAGAGAGCTAGAAACATCGATGAGAGAGAAACATCGACCAGCTGCCTCCTGCACACTTCCTGGGGATGTGCCCGCAACCAATGTACATGCCCCCGACCGGAATCGAACCTGGGACCTTTCAGTCCGCAGACCGACGCTCTATTCACTGAGCCAAACCGGTTTCAGCAAGAGTTCCTTTTAAACTGACAAGAGTAGGAAATGCTTAATTGTGGTAGGCATATGGAAATAGCTCTGATTGTCTAGATCACTAACAGCTGCTGGTTTACCAGTCTAGTAAGCATTTCTGTCCTCATTTTCCTTGACATTTCAGCATACTCATACAGTTGATGGTTTTCTCTTTTTTGAAACTTCTTTGACTTCACAGCTTCACACCTGCTTTTCCCTACCTTTATGAATGGTGTCTAGTCTCCTTGTTGATTTCCCTTCATTTCTTGATCCTTGAGAGAAGGGTCTGGAATCTCTTTTCAAAACTCCATAGTTGAACCCATGTTATCTGTGTGTGTGTCTCCCAAATTTATAACTTCAGTTCCAGAACTTCCTTCTCAGCTTCAGTCCCATATACTAACCTGCTATTTCACATCTCATTTTAAAAATTATTTTTTTAAATTTATCTTTATTGTTGAAACTATTACAGATGTCCCCTTTTTATCCATTGACCTCCTCTCCCTTCCTCCCCAACTATTGGGGTATGAAGCCAAATAGACCTATTTTCAAATATCTGCTCTGTTTCCTACCTGGGACTCTGGACAGGCTGGGAAGTGTCAGAACTTTGTATATTATTATAGGGAAAATTGGGAGAAAAATACCCTCATTATAAAACTTGAGTAAATTTACATTAGTTTTAAACATTTAAATTCTGTATATATATTTTTATTATTATAATTATTATTAATTAACCCGTCGAAGGACTGGGATGTGACTCAGTATGCTTTAATGATGTTAAGTATATAATACATTTTGGAAACGACATGCCCTTGACCAGAATTGAACCCAGACCCTTTGGTCCACAGGCCAATGTTCTATCCATTGAGCCAAACTGGCTAGGGCTCTTCTCCCTTCTTGATACTCCAGTTAAAATATGTTAGACTTTCCACTGCCTCCTCTACGTCTGTTACTGTCTCTTCTGTATTTTCTATCTTTTTCTTCTTTTTGCTATATTTTAGATACTTTATTATTTGTATTTCAATTATTTTTCTCTTTGGCTCTCTCTGATATGCTAAGAAACCTAATAATTTGAGTTTAAATTTTTGGAAATTTATTTTTTACTTATAGAAGTCTTATTTCACTCTTTTTCAAATCTAATATCACATGCTATAGTCTGATTCTATAATAATTTTAATATCTAAATATTTTTGTTTTCTGTTATTTCTGCTGGATATTGTATTTTTTTCATTGATTAGTGCTCGCCACCTAAAATAATACCTGGCACATGAGTGATATTCAAATTTTATATTTTTTTATAAACTACGTTTTTATAAGTTTATATTCTTTCAATGAGTAAATTAACTTTTCCCTTTGCTGTCCATTCATCATACAATCGCATGGAGTTATGAAATCTAAGATTTAAATTATATTCTCTAGTGATTTTGATCAGTATTTCATATTTAGAGATTTTTAGATTTTTAAAATTTTTGTTTGTTGAAATAAATTTTCAGCAAAATGTATACAGTGAAAAAAATAGCAAAAAGATTATGGATATAACTTAATTAAGCCTGTTTGAAATGAGTAAATGTTTTCTCAAGTATACTCTTAGAAAGTTTTAAAAATTGGACATTTCTTTCTTTTTAAAAAATATTTATTTTTAATTTCAGAGAGGAAGGGAGAGGGAGGAAGAGAAACTTCAATGGTGAGAGAGAATCATTGATTGGTTACCTCCTGCATACCCCAATAGGGGAATCAGAAATCAAACCATGGCCTCCAGGTTCATAGGTCGATGTTCAACCACTGAACTGCAGTGGCCAGATCTGACTACATTATTTTTTAACAGGTTATGTCGCTTAAAAAAGAAAGCACAGGCAGAAGCAAATGCCACAGCTATCAGTAATCTGTTGCCATTTATGGAATATGAAGTCCATACTCAGCTAATGAATAAACTAAAACTCAAAGGAATGAATGCTTTATTTGGACTGAGAATTCAGATCACAGTGGGTGAAAATATGTTGATGGGCTTAGCGGTAAGTTTGCATGTTTTGTTTTTGTTTTGGCAATTCCTGAAGTTGTAGTAGATTTTGTTTTAAGTGATTCAAAGAGTCTTTTATAAAAGACTTATCTAAAGAAACTGACATCAAGATTTTTAAGCGTTAGAGATATAAGAATTAACAGATCTGGTGCTATGCTTTCAAGTATTTTATTTTTAATTATAAAATTAAATTAATAAATTATCACATAAAATATTGATTGATATTTATGTTATCATTATATATTTATATTCTGCCCATAACCTCAGTAGTCAGATTTCTAAAAATTACTATGTGCAGCTTATTTAGTAAATTGAGCACCATTGTACTGGGCTTTATTATTGTTTATACATTGCTAAAACAGGGCTTTTCCTGCTTGGAATTGTTGAGATTTGGGTCTGGGTAACTTTGTTGTAGTGGATTGTCTCATTCATTGTAGGATAGTTAGCAGCATCCTTGGCCTCTGCTGACTAGAAGCTAATAACTTTCCTCCACTGTGACAACAAAAAATATGTCCAGACATTACCAGGTGTTCTTTAAGGGGCGAAAGCACTTCTAAAGGAGAATGGTGGTGGTGGGGCTGGGGGAGAACTAAAATAATTGTTAGTTTTAATGGAGATAGTAAAGCAATGAGACACTGCCTACTATTGAACAGAGAATTATATTTTACAAAAGGCCTGGTGCACAAAATTAGTGCATGGGTGGTAGGGTGGGGGAAGTCCCCTCAGCCCAGCCTGCACTCTCTCCAATCTGGGACCTCTCGGGGGATGTCCGGCTGCCTAAACTAGCAGTCAGACATCCCTCTCACAATCCAGGACCACTGGCTTCTAACTCCCTCCCTGCCTGGTCACCCCTTACTGCTCCCCCTCCCCCCACCAGCCTGGTTACCTCCAACTGCCCCTCCTACCAGTCTGGTTGTCCCTTACTGCCCCTCCCCCCCTGCCAGCCTGGTTGCCCCTAACAACCCCCCCCACCCCCCCGCCTAGTCACCCCAACTTCCCTCTCCTGATGGCCTGCTCACCCCACACAGCCTGCTGTTCAGTCGTTTGGTCATCTCTCACTAACCCTCCTGCTGGCCTGGTCGCCCCCCCCACAGCCTGCTGTTCAGTTGTTGGTCATCCTTTACTAATCCCCCTGCCTGCTTGGTCGCCCCACCCAGCTTGCTGATTGGTTGTCCATCCGATTGTTTAGGTTGTGTCAGCCCTTGGCTTTTTATATATTAGGACTGTAAATGTAACATCTGTGGTCAGAAGACAGTACAATATGCAAAAAAAACAAAAGGGTTTAAGTACTGATAAATTGTGAGGCACTGGAAAGCTCTTTATCTCAACTTCATGTTTATCTTTGCTTGTTAGAAAACAAGTTCTGTCTAGAAAAATTGTAATGAGCATGAGCTGCCTTTATAAATAGCCTGAGATCCAGAGAACTAGTTACCTGTGAAATATATATTGCTTAGATGGAATCTGAGCAACAATGCTTATGGAAATACTCTCATACGCAAGATTTTTTGATAGCCAGAATTTTATGTCATTGGTACTTTTAAATTTGGAATTCTCTGCCTTTACTTAAGAAATTGATGGAACTTGGATTCTTTTTTCCAGTATGCATTTGTGCATAAAATGATAAATTGTTTCTTGCTTCATCCACTTTTCTATAAGAGCAAATATGGAAATTTCTGTATGTAGGATATAATTTTGTAATGATTAATTATGTAATCACAAATTTTAACAATAAGAATTTGTAGTGATTAATGAAAGTAATCTGATTTATATTCAAATATTTGATAGATTAACTTGGAAGAAAAAGTATCCATTATAATTCACTCATCTAAAAACTCGCACACTTAGCCAGGACTTAACATATAAAACCGTAGTTACTGGTGGGCATCTATAGGAACTAAGAACTTGATTTGTATTCAGAGGTTTAAGAAACACTGTGCCAAATGTATCAAACATTTCCTGTAGTTGAACCCCAGGAAATTATTATGTGATCCTGGTATAATTCTTCAATACCTGCCTCAAATACTGCCTTTTCTAATTCTTACTAATATTTTCTTTCTTGGGCACATTTAGTGATATCATTTATAGCTGCTTGAGATTTGTCATCTAGTGACATCATTTATAGCTGTTTGAAATATGGATATTTGTATTTTTAACTTGTGCACTCAAGGTCCCAAGAGTAGCTTCCATGGCAGTTAACCTCTGATGAGTGCTAATGGGTGTCTGGCACTGTGTTATTCCAGAAGAAATGTAATATTATCTTTACTTAGCATGAGGAGAAATGTACGCTGTGATAGATTGAAGTTTGTCCAAAGTGATATGGTTACATGTTCTGGAACTGGGTTTCAAGCCCAGGACTGTCTAGTTCTGGAGGCTTTGTGTTCTCAACTCTTCTGGGCCATTGCCTCGTTAGCTGTTGCAGTTAATATTAGAAGTGGTACAGTAAAGCTTCATGTGGCACAGAGAGTATTCTGAGATTGAGTATCAGAAATTGGGTCATAGGTGCAGTCATGGACACTAATGAACAAACCAGGAGGGAGACCTTCTGAGGATCAGTTTCATCTACTGCCCAGTCTTCATCACAAAGTGTCATACACTTTTTGAAAATGGACTTTTATAAAATTGGCAATTGGTTAATTTAAAAAAACCCACCTCAATTCATAATACACAAATATCCAGATTTTAAAAATTATCTTTTCTTTGCCCCATTCTACCCCTTTGATATGAACAATTTGATGTTAATATGTCTATGTATTTTTTTGCTTTGTTTATATAAGTATATTTAAACATATGCACATAGATGTGTGGAGGGTGTATGTATTTCCCCTAATAGCTTTCTAATACTAATGGCATCTAGTACTATTACACAGTCAGAAATTAATAGCCCGTTAATTAAAAACTTAAAGTAAATCTGTAAATCTGTATCAAGTAAAGTTTTCCTTCTTCTTTTTTTTTTTTTTTTTTTTTTTTTACAATATACAAAGTAAATCTATTACCAGATTGTAGATACAAAATAATTAGCCATTTACATTCAGTAACATTAATATTTCAAGAAAAATGATTTTAAATATAATGTGACATGCAATAAACATTAATTTTTGAAGAAAAATGATTTTAAATATAATGTTATATGCAATAAACATTAACATTTCAAGAAAAATGATTTTAGCCCTCGCTAGTTCAGCTCAGTGGCTAATGTGTTGGCTTGTAGACTAAAAGGTCCTTGGATTCGGCCAAAGGCACATGCCTGAGTTGCTGGCTCAGTCCCCAGTCGGGGGTGTGCAGGAGACAACCAGTCATGATTTTATCTCATCATTGATGTTTCTATTTCTTTCTCTCTCTCCCTTCCTCTCTGAAATCAATAAAAATATGTAACAAAAAAGAAAAAGAAAAACTACTTTAAATATACTAGAGGCCTGGTGCACGAAATTTGTGCACTTGGGGGATGGGGGTGGGGTTCCTTCAACCTGGCCTGTGCCCTCTCAAAGTCCGGGAGCCCTTGGGGGATGTCTTACTGCTGGCTTTGGGAGAGTGGGCCTAAGCCAGCAGTCAGACATCCTTAGCACTGCTGCCGACACAGGAAAGGCTCCTTCCACCTCTGCTGTGCTTGCCAGCTATAAGCCCGGCTTCTGGCTGAGTGGCTCTCCCCCTGCGGAATCAGGCTGAAGCAGGCTCTCTGACATCCCCCAAGGGGTCCCAGATTGTGAGGGTACAGGCCAGGCCAAGGGACCCCACTGGTGCATGATTGGGGCCAGGGAGAAATGTAGGAGGTTGGCCAGATGGGGTGGGATAACAGGAGGGCTCTAGGATGTGTTCATCCCATCTTGCTCAGCCCGGACCAGACCCTAGCAGCAAGCTAATCTACTAGGAGCATCTTCCCCTTAGTGGTCAGTGCACGTCATAGCAACTGGTTGACTAGTCGACTGTCTGCTCCTGGTGGTCAGTGCATGTCATAGTGAGCAGGTGAGTGGCCTTAGCATATCATTAGCATATTATGCTTTGATTGGTTGAATGGCTGACTGGTTGACCAGACACTTAGCATATTAGGCTTTTATTATATGGGATTAAATGCACTAAATATTAATATTTCAAGAAAAAAATATTTTAAACCTTATATAATAAAAGAGTAATATGCAAATTTACCCTAATGGTGGAACGACTGGGAATAACCGGTCGCTATGATGCACACTGACCATCAGGGGGCAGGCCTGGCTGAGGGACCACCACCCAAGTGGATGAATTTTCATACATCAGGCCTCTAGTATAATAATATTATCAGAACTGTACTAACATAAGTTGTTAGTTGTACTAACAACTTTTGTACTATCACAAAAGTTGTAGGCAATATTAAAAATCTGCAAATAACAAGATTATTTCTATTATATTCTAAATATTTTTTTCTCTTGACTCTATTTTTGTTCATCAGTTTATGTTGTTCATTATATTCCACAAATGAGTGAGATCATGTGATATTTATCTTTCTCTGACTAGGTTATTTTGCTTAGCATAATGCTCTTCAGGTCCATCCATGCTGTTTTCCTTCTTGATAATTGTGGAGGTAGCCTGGTTTAATGAAAAGTTCTTGGGTTTGGAGAAACAGATTCAAGTCTCTTTTTCACATTTATTGACAGTGTGATCTTGAGTAGTTTTCTATTCTTTATGCACTTTAGTATCATTACTTTCTTTGCAAAATTTCCCTTTTTTTGCCACAGAAAAGGTCAATTATCTACTCATTGATGAAAAACTTACTTTTAAAAAAATATATTTTATTGAGTTTTTACAGAGAGGAAGAGAGAGGGATAGAGAGTTAAAAACATCCATGAGAGAGAATCATCGATCAGCTGCCTCCTGCACACAAACACTTCCCCCTCCCCCCTACTGGGGATGTGCCTGCAACCAAGGTACATGCCCTTGACTGGAATCCAACCCGGGACCTTTCAGTCCACAGGCTGAAGCTCTATCTGAGCCAAACCGGTTTCGGTGAAATACTTTTAACAACTTTATATATCCTATATAATGAAAGGGTAATATGCAAATTGACCCTAACAGCGGAATGACCAGGATAACTGCTTGACCAGTCACTATGAGGTGCACTGACCACCTCTGTGTCTCTTTCCCTGGCCAGCAGGATCCGATTGCCCAATGGCAAACAAGATAAGTGAGGTGGATGGCAGCAGGGGGCAGGGCTGGGAAGCGGGCGGAAAGGTAGACCTCTCGGTCCCTCCCCCTGGCTGGCAGGATCCTACTGCCTGATGGCAAACAGGGAACCGGGGTTGGTTTGTGGGGCATACAGATGGCGCCAGGCCAAGGCCATCGCCCCGCTGGTCACTGCACACACAGAGGGCGACCCGTGGTGGGGCCGGGTCCAGCGAGCGGGCTGGAATGACTAACCTCAGTCCACTTTGATTGCCCGATGGCTAATGCGGAACCGGGGGTAGGAGGCGGCGGAGGGCGGGGCTGGCTGTAGGCAGTTGAGGAGGATAGCCTGATCACAGGCCAGGGCTAGGGACCGTACTGTGCACGAATGTCATGCACCAGGCAGGCCTCGTGTGTGTGTGTGTGTGTGTGTGTGTGTGTGTGTGTGTGTATGTGTGTGTGTATTTCAGAGAGAGAAATAAATATTCATGTGAGAGAGAAGCATCAATTGGTTGCCTCCTGAAGGTCCTTTGACCAGAGGTTGAAACTGCATCCTGTGTATGTGCCCTGACAGGGAATTGAACCTGTGACCTTTAGGTGCATTGGACGATGCTCAACCAACTGAGCCACACTAGCCAGGGCTACTTTTAACAACATTTTATCTTTTTTCCCTAAACTTTTTCAAAGCAATTAATTTCTTGCAACCATGGGTAAAAACTTTATAGTACAGTTGGGGTATACAGTGAAAAGAAAGTCCTCCTAAACCATCTATCCCTGGTTCTCAACAGAAGTAGCTAACCCCTGTTCCCACTTAATGTTTTGCTGTGCTTGTCCACCTATGTCTTGTGTATCCATTGATGCTAATTACTCCTACTGGGCAAAGACCACATTCCTAAATATGAAAACTTAAGGGCTCTTGTCCTACAGATCATTTTAAAGATTATTTCCCCTTATTTTACAAGTCGGCCACAGGTGTATATTTAGCAGCATTACCAACGCCTGGTGGAATTCAGATTGCTGGGAAGACTCCTAATGATGGCGGCTCCTACGAACAGCATGTATCTCATATGCAAAAGAAGATAAATGACACGATCGCTAAGAATAAAGAGTTATATGAAATAAATCCTCCAGTAAGTAAACTAAGTCTACATTGTGAATATATAAGTTACTGTTTAGCTGTTGGTGTACCTTTAGGTTACCTTACTTTGGACATAAAGACCTTTTTTCACTGTGTAGATATGTTCTCCTCATTGCTCATTCTTTTCCCTCCCTTTACACCTATGCTTAAATGTCTTCTTTTTAGGGAGGCTCACTCTGGCCACCCTATTTAAGAATTGTAACTCTCTTATTAATTTTTGGTACTTCCTATCCCCCTTTCTTATCTATTGTCTGTTATTGCCAGTAGAATCAAGCTCTATGAGAACTGTATCCCTAATGCCTAGAACAGTTCCTTTTGGTATTTTTTTATGAATACTTATTGAATAGTTAAATAGCTTAAAATCTTTTTTTAAAAGAAAAAGAGAAATTGCTTACCTATGGTAAAGTGTGAAAGAATAGAGTTTTTTTTTTTGTTTGTTTGTTTTTTTTTAAATTTGGTGATTTTCTTACATTTTTTTCTACCAGTCATTTCCATAGTCAGTCTTTTCACCAACTTTGCAATCGGTATCACAATGCCTCCTACTCTACAGATGTCTTATTTTAATCTGAGTTGAAAGATGTGTTGTAGTAGGAGTGAAACTATTTGTTTTTATAAGTCTCTGATGATGAAGTATTTCTGTAAAAGATAAGTGTTTGGATAACATTATTTTTATTATTATATTTTATATATGCTTTTGAATTTTGGTTGGTCTACTGGAACGGTACATCTGAATTCCAGTTTCAAACTTATAGCTTTCTAGCAAAGTTATTAAGCTGGGAGGAATTTTAAGGACATGACTAGAGTTACACAGTTCAGTGCGGTAGACACTGGTCACATGTGGCTATAAAGCACTTGATATGTGGCTAGTCTGAATTGAGATGTGCTGTTGGTATAAAATATACCAGTACACTGGATTTTGAAGATTTAGTAAATGAAAAAGAATGTAAAATATCTTATGGTTTATTTTTATATTGATTACATGTTTCATTTGTATCTTTGTATATTATTACCTATAAAGCTTGCTTTATATTTCTATTGAGTAATATTGATATAGTTTCTTTAAATTCATTAAAAATGTTAACATGTTAATATATTTACGTACATAGATTTTATAAAAACTTTCTGCAAAATGCTTTATTGACTACTTGTTTGCTGTAGTTTTCTTTTATAATCATATTTTTATATTTAAACATCTAGTAGTAATTATTACTCTTGGGAAGAATGATTTGCAAAGATATATGTGAGGATTCCATATATGAATTGCAATGATATGAGCTGAATTTTCACGTAACAATATTTATCAACTCTACTTCCATCCTCACCTCCCACAAGACCTGCCTCTTCCATTGTGTTTCTGTTGTACCTGTATTTGCTTCTGTCATGATGCCTGTTACATTTTAGTGCACTTAGTTTTACATGTTTCCCTTCCTTTACTGTAATAAAAGCCCCTTGAAGTCAGAGACATACTGTTTAGTATTGCATTTTAGAGGAGGGAGTAAATCTTTTTGAAATATGTTTTTATTGCTTTTTTTAGAGGGAGAGAGGAAGGGAGGGAGAAAGATAGACAGATAGAAACATTGATGCCCCCTCTGGGGATCAAGCCTGCAACTAGAGCAAGTACTCTGACCAGGAATTGACTGGGGACCTCTTGGTTCATGGGTTGATGCTTAACAATTGAGCCACACTGGTTGGGTGGGAATAAATCTTTTATGAATTTAAAATTTTCAGCATATATGAATTTTATATATTGAATATGACTATATTTCTACAAAAGGACTAATCACTTTATGAGTATTCTACTATGGCTTTTCTTATTTCAATGCTTGGTACATTCTGGTCTTTTAGCTTAACCTTTCAGAATTTGTTTGAAAAAGTCAATGTACAAGGCCACTTTGTATATTACAGTTTTGTGTTTTAAATTTTCTAAAACAATGTATGCCCACCTTGAAAATGTGGATCAGTGTTTTATATCTTAGAAAGGTAGTTCCAGCTGAAGTGAATGCTGTTGTTTATTTTTTTTTCAATACTTTGAGAAAGTTAAAAAAATTTATTAAATTGATTGGAGTGACATTGGTCAGCATGAACATATATAGGTTTCATGTGTGGATTTCTATATTACAAGGTCTGTGTATTGCATTGTGTGCTCACCATCCAAGTCAAATCTGTCACCTAATATTAGGACCCCTTTCTGTCCCCAACCCCTTCCCTCTGGCTGTTAGTGTTCACATATTTCAGTTTTTCTGTTTTTTTAAATATATATTTTATTGATTTTTTTACAGAGAGGAAGAGAGAGGGATAGAGAGTTAGAAACATAGATGAGAGAGAAACATCGACCAGCTGCCTCCTGCACACCCCCTACTGGGGTTGTGCCCACAACCAAGGTACATGCCCTTGATCGGAATCGAACCCGGGACCTTTCAGTTCGCAGGCCAACGCTCTATCCACTGAGCCAAACAGGTTTCGACAAGTTTCAGTTTTATATCCCACATCTTACTGAAATTATATGGTTCTTAGTATTTTCTGTCTTATTTCACTTAGCATAATGTTCTCAAGGTCCATCCATGTTGCTAAGAAAAACATGTCTAATGAAAAGGTGTAATACCACTTAACTGGAGATAACTCAGTCAACCAGAGTATCAAAATGAGGTGCAAAACGTTTATTTGGAATTAACAGCACCAGTGGTGAAACCTCATTATGAATCTAAGATACATTCAATTTCAGATAGTTAAATTTATTTTTTCCATGATACAATAAAGAGAGGCATAACTAAATTTTAAATTACTATAAAATTATAAAATGAAGGATAGTTTCAATATTGCATTCAGGGTCAAAAGAACTAATCTAGACAAGTTCATCACATACTATAATAGTTTGCAAAAACCCAGGCAAACTACTCTACTTCTGAACTGGATCTCTTTCTCATTTTGTATTTGTTATAATAGGCACCCTGTTAAATTTATATAGGGCAGGTTAATTTGGAATGCAAGCAAAATAAATGGATGTGAAAGTACTCTATAGATAGCTGTGTTATAAAACTGTGGTGGTAATCTTATGTAACCTATGTGCTAGTGATGAACATTTAAAATTAGCCCTTTGAAAAGCTTTTTCTTATAACTTCCTTTAAAAAAAAAAAAAAGATGGGTCTGTTGCACTAATAATAAGCTATGTCTTTTGCATTTGTGCTCACATATCCACATTTTTTTGATAATCCTTGTTACCAACAGATATTTAGAACCTCTAGTTAGCTCTGATATTTGATTATGAATAGGAAAAACTGATTAAACTATATAGGATTGCACCTTACACTGACCTCAAAAAGATCATTATTGTAACTACCAAAGTTTATTTAGCTTAATAAGCAGTAAAACAAATACATGAGTAATATGTGCACTACGTATATATATATATACCTACATCTATTATATTCCTCATTTTACTGTGTGGAGCTATGAAAAATGACCACTGGATAAGAAAAGATATAGAGTACAATCATATTTATGGATACAAAACTTTAATTCTTTGTGGACTGCTATAACTTTTAAATGCTGTGAAGAAAATACCTTCTCTACAGATGTTCTTATAGATTTAATCTGGAAGGATTGCCAGTTCCCTACTCATTGTAGTTTTCTTTCTCTGCAGTAGATGTCAGTAATATCTTGCCATAACTGTTTTTGAATTAGCCTGCTGTTATCAACTAAAGAAAATATCCATATGCATACCTATAAAAAGTTAGTCATGAAGTTTATAATTAAATATACACTTTAAATATTTTTTGGAGACTTCCCTCAAAGGTAGTTGTCTGTAATGATAAAATTTTAAAACCAAACTAAAGTATGCAAATATCAAATCATTTGTGTTATACACCTGAAACTAATATAATGTTATACATCAATTATACCTCAATTAAAAAAAAAGAAAAAGAAAAACTGAAAATTATGGTCTTGTGTAAACTAAAATAATTATATATATATTTTAGGAGATATCTGAAGAGATTATAGGATCACCCATCCCAGAACCTCGACAACGCACAAGACTCTTAAGATCTCAATCAGAAAGTTCTGATGAAGTTACAGAATTGGACCTTTCGCATGGGAAAAAAGATGCTTTTGTTTTGGAGGTATTATTGCATTGGAGTAATTTCTTAAAGTTTTTAGATGTGTAATTTTTACAATCATACTTGATGTGATTCTTTTGTATCATTACAACTGTTACTAATATAAAAAATATAATATGTAAATATTACAATAAATCTGAGAATTTCAGAACTTAGTAATATATTTTTGTTCAATACCAGAAGACCAATAACAATAATGCAGGTGGTTCTGGAAAAATGTATGTATGAGTTGAAATAAAATTAAAATAATATTAGCTCTTGGAGCTATTTATTGTAAACTTGAATGAATTTAAATAAGAAATTAAGATGCTATTTCTTCACTTACTAGAATTCCCTGCTTTATATGTTATAATATTTTACTATAATTATAACATTTTTACATGTAATAATATGGGCACTGTGAATTCTGAATGTAGTGTTTTCTTATTGAATTCAGAAGATATCATTGAACTTTCGTTATAAAAATATACTCAGAACTAGCTTTGCTGGAGGATAAATGTAGTATAAAAGGTTCAGGGAGCCTCCTCTCTCACAAATTTGCTTCCCCTGCCTTTTCAAGAATGGTTAGCTATGAAAGAGATAGATTTCTTTGAAATTGAAGGAAAGGAAAATAAATGAGGATGTTCAAAAATGTCCTGGTAAGGTGCCTTTTGAAAGAAAAAAGTCAGGTGCCTTGATCTCAGTGAAGCAGGAAGCTGATGGTAGAATTGTATTAGAATGGGATTGGAGTTCTGAAGAGTCTAGAACAGAGCCTGAGAGTGTGATCAGGATGTCAGCTGTGGGCGATGCACAAGACTTAACCTGAGGTAAGAGAGTTAATTTGTAGAAAACTCAATCTGTATGGATTTTCCTCTTTTTTTTTTTTTTTTTTTTTTTTTTTTTTTTTACTGTCTGAGAATGGAAAAATCATGGGAGTTGGTAAAGGATATGTCAGGTTAAGGAGGTAAAAGGATCCAGGGTACTGTTTAGAGCAGTGCTACTTAATTGTGGGCAGTGACTACCTGTAGTGTTAGCACTTTCTGGAAGTTTGTAAGAAATACAAATTCTGGGGATCTTAATTCAGACTTTGTAAATGAAAATTTCATGGTGGGGCCACGGAATCTGTTTAACAAACTCTCCAGGTGAGACTTAGCATTACTTGAAGTTTGATCTAGAGCAGCATTGGTACTTCTCATCCTGGGATCCTGACTAAGGAATGCATAGAAGTGCTTCAAATGTGGGCAGAAGATGGGGGGACAAGGTGTAGATTCAGTAGGAGAAAGGGCAAAAGGATAGGGGATTGTAGTTGGAGAATGCTTGAATCTGGGTGTGGAATGGATTGGGGAACAGTGTTGAGGAATAGCCATGACCGAGGTAGCTAAGGTCAAGTGGGAGTGAAGGTGGTTCTGGAAGTCACAGGTGAGATGTGAGTGGAAGCATAGAGTGTGTGAGGCAAGAATTAGACCCCTGATGTACAGTGAATTCAGTATGTCTAGTTGCATAGTTTCACTCTTTATTATTCACAATGGAAAATAGTGATATAAGAAAAATAGGATTATATATTAATTTGTTAGGCGTGCCTTTAAATTTGTCCCTACATAATTTTATTTTAAAGCAATTGTGTCTTTAGTAAAAAATATTGTTTTTTTTTTTTAATTGCACTATATTTGTTTAAACAATTAGAGATAGTTTTTGCTTATGGTACCTTCTTTTGAAACATGCCCTTCTAAAGGATTGAGAAAACGCTTGTTAAAAGAAAAAACTAATTACACTTACAAATTATTTCTCTTGGAAGTATTTATAATTATTACTGTAGAGAAATATACTGGTATTTGAAAGGAATTTCTTTCAAATTTTATATTTTAATTTAGGGAAAAGGTTCTTTTTTTGACTTTAAGTTTTTTATTTAGTAAACAATTTCTTTTAAATTGAAATGATTGCATATTTATTACTTATGTAATAGTTTACAACTTTCTATTTTCAGATTGATGACACAGATGCTATGGAAGATGTACATTCTCTTCTTACTGATGTTCCTCCTCCTTCAGGTAAACAGAAAAAATTACCTTTGAGATGAGACTGTCTTTTTTTTTTTTTTTTTTTTTTTTTTTTTGCGCATCAGTATTTTAGTTCATAATTATTATGGTACTAACTTTATTTTAGAGGCTTTATCAGTGTCACACCTTATCATGTGCTTTGCTGCTCCAAGGCAGAAAACAGGTTTAAAATATTTATGTTAGAACTTAGATTAACTGATTTTTAATCCTTTTAAGATTACACATTTTTATTTTATTTTATTTTAAATATATTTTATTGATTTTTTACAGAGAGAGGAGAGAGGGATAGAGAGTTAGAAACATCGATGAGAGAGAATCATTGATCAGCTGCCTCTTGCACACCCCCTACTGGGGATGTGCCCGCAACCAAGGTGCATACCCTTGACCGGAATCGAACCCAGGACCTTTCAATCCACAGGCCGACGCTCTATTCACTGAGCCAAACCGGTTTTGGCAAGATTACACATTTTTTAAAAAGCAGTAATTTGTTAAGATGTTCTGACATTGTAGAAAAGAATGAATGGTTCTTATAGTTAGAATATCATGTAATAATTGAAACAGGTTATTTTTAACACAAAAATAAGTGAAATATATTTTAACTTTAATTTATTTTGACAGGCTTTTATAGTTGCAATACAGAAATTATGCCTGGCATAAATAATTGGACATCTGAAATACAGGTGAATCTTTCATTTTTAATTTTAAATAAATACAACATAAGTGATTTTAGCAAGTTCCTTCTTAATGTGTTTTCTTTTTCACTTCCTTATTGCAACTAAAATGTTACCCTTTTTCATAACACATTAATTATTATTGTTCATTATTGGCAGTTTTATTATAATAGTAAAGTAATAAAATGCTATACTATCATATCTCCCCATATTTAGATGTTCACATCAGTAAGAGTAATCCGATTAAGCAGCCTTAACCTGACAAATCAAGCCCTTAATAAGAACTTTAATGATCTCTGTGAAAATTTGCTCAAGGTATGTACCTTCTGACTATATTTTAGTTAAAACTCCTAAGAATCATGAAATTGAAAATGTGTACATATTGTCTGGAATACCTTACACAGAATGGGCTAAATTATTTTTATCTACATATCAACTTAGTCTGCCATCAGATAAAATGCTAAAGTCCTGTCTGTCTTAATATACCATACTATAAAATAAATATATTTTAAGTTATCTGATAGTTTTAAACTTCATAAAAATCTATTGTGTGTATGTAAATTTAAAATACATTTTTCTTATATTATTTTCTATGACATTGATAGATATGATTAAATCTTATTGTCTGCCATAATATTAAAAACTAGAGGCCTGGTGCATGAAATTTGTGCACTGGAGGGGGGCACCCCTCAGCCTGGCCTGTGCCCTCTCACAGTGCTCCGCAATTGATTGCCCACAGAGGGAGGCCTCGCCCACCCAGTTGGGGCTCCATGATGGATCGCCCCCATAGTGGGAGGCCCTGCTCACCCACCACAGCCTACCAGTTGGTGGCTTGGCCTCCCTCTTTGGGGCGATAGGGGAGCCCCCAATTAATTATCCTGCCTGCTGGTGTTCTGGGCCTGCCTCTGTGGGGCAATCAAGGGGTAATGGCAGGGTCCCCAACCAATCGCACACACCCACTTTGGCTGGCCTGGTGCTAGTGGGTGTCATCATGTGGTCATCCAGATGGTTGTTCCACTGATCGGCTGTTCGGTCAATTTGCATATTATGCTGTTATTATTATAGGCTAGGGGCCTGATGCATGAAATTTGTGCAAGGGTCTTGGCCTTGGCCCCCACCCACCACTGTGGCCCATGTTCAGGCATCTTTGGAAGGAATAACGTCTGGAAGGTCATCTGGTCTAATTAGCATATTATGCTTTAATTATTATAGATAGATTGTTTATGTAAGGATAAACAAAACAGAATTGGACCAGCTTTGTTTTAATCCTTTAATCTTTCCATTTGCCATAATGTGCATTAAAATGTCAGTTTTTGTAAATTTTTAAATGGAAAGAAATGACATTGTTAATATTTTCTATTGTATAGAGCCTGTATTTTAAACTACGGTCTATGATCCCCTGCTGCCTTTGCCATGTAAATTTTACAGTATCTCTTCCTGAAGATGAATTAATTCAGGTATTTAAGATTCAGTTTATTATTAAAGATTTCTAGCCTTTATCTGATCTGTTATAAATATGCTATAATTAAATAACTATAAGCTGTTTTACTTAAAAATATTTTGAAACATATTAGTATGAAACATACTGTGTATATTTTGTTTTCCTGAACTCTGGTTATCTGAAGTTGGAATTACATTTGTGCTCCAGCATACATACAATAGGATTTGTATTTATATGCAGTTTCTCCAGTCCTCATCTGTTAGACAAAGTTCTTGAGCTCTTTCTGGAATATCTATGTGTAGGTGTACATGTTGGGCTTAGTTATAGTTTGAATATCTGGGCTGATGTATAATTCTCTGAGAATTTTAACCAGAATTATAACTGAGAATCTTAACCAGGAAAGGCAAATTAACCAATTAGTGTAAGTTGTTCCATGGTATTAATATTTAATACCATGGAACAACTTACACTAATTGGTTAATCATAGTAAACTTATTTTGACAATGATTATTTTGCTAATCTTTACTGTCTCTGTGATTCTAGGTTACAGTCACAGCCGTTGCAATAACTTTTGATAAAAATCAAGCTTTACAGACGACAAAAACACAGGTTGAAAAATCATTGCAAAGAGGTAAATCTGTGATGAGTGGGATCATAGTTCATGTTTGTCTACATTATAGTTTAGTGATAAAATATAGAGGATAGTAAATTAAGTAAATGAGTTGTTTCTTGAAGAGAATCTGCCACTTTTTGTTTATCAAAGTAATGGTGTGGATAAGCATATGGCTGATTTAATGCTTTTTATACATGAAAAGGAGTTGGACTGGTATTTACATAGAGATACTGTTGTTTTATAGATTTAAATTTAGCATATTAATTCTGCAGTAACTTAGCAGTTTCTATCCTAGTAGCTCTAAGGAGATCCTCAAGGCATTTGAGAAACTACTGATGTAGTAATCATCACATGTTTTTCTTAGGAAAAGTTCTGTAGTAACCAATAGATTCTCAGAGTGGTCGTTTACCCAATAAAATGTCATTCTTTTTTGCTTTGTTAAAAGTAGGATTTTGTTTTCTTATTTATTTTTATTGTATTTTTTTAAAAATATATTTTTATTGATTTTACAGAGGAAGGTAGAGGGAGAGAGACATAGAAACATCAATGATGAGAGAATCATTGATTGGTTGCCTTCTGCATGCCTTCTATAATACTAGAGATCAAGCCCACAACCAGGGCATGTGCCCTGATCAGAAATCGAACTGTGACCTCCTGCTTCCATGGGTTAATGCTCAACCATTGAGCCACACTGGCCCATCATATTTTGACACTATTACAGAAGTTTCCCATTTCTCCCCCTTTTGCCTCTCTCCACCCAATGACCACCCTATGTCAGGCCATCCCCATTCTATTGTCTATGTCCATTTGGTTAATCTCTTCCTGCCCCACCTCCCAACACCCGTTGAAGTCTATTATTCTGTTCCATGCATCTATACCTCTGGACCTATTTCGTTCATTAGATTCCACATGTAAGTGAGATCATGTGATGTTTGTCTTTCTCTACCTGGCTTATTTAGCTTAACATAGTAGTCTCCAGGTCCATCCATGCTATCTCAAAGGGTAAGAGATGCTTCTTTTTCACTGCTGCATAGTATTCCATGGTGTAACTGTACCACAGCTTTTTTTATCCACTCATCTACTGATTGGCACCTGAGCTCTTTCCAGATAACACTGCTGTGAACATAGGGATACTTACATTCTTTCTGATTGGTGTTTCAGGATTCTTAAAATATATTCCCAGAAGTGGATCGACGTGTCAAAAGGCAGTTTCACCTTTAGTTTTTTAAGGAAACTCCACACTGTTTTCACAGTGGCTACACCAGTTTGCATTCCCACCAGCAGTGTACTAGGGTTCCCTTCTCATCATCCTCGCCAGCACTTGTTGTTTGTTGATTTATTGATGGTAGCCATTCTGGCAGGTGTGAAGTGATACCTTGTTGTAGTTTTAATTTACATCTCTCTGATGATTAGTGATGTTGAACATTTTTTATGTGTTTATTGGCCATCTGTATGTCCTCCTTGTAGAAGTGTCTATTCAGGTCTTTTGTCCATTTTTAATTGAATTATTCTGGTGTTGAGTTGTATGAGTTCTTGTATAATTTGGAAATTAACCCTTTATCAGATGTATCATTGGTGAATATGTTTTCTCATACAGTAGTTTCCCTTTTCATTTTGTTGATGGTTTCTTTTGTTATGCAAAAGCTTTTCAGTTTGATGTAGTCCCATTTGTTAATTTGTTCCCTTTGTTTCTCTTACCCTAGGCGAAGTCTCAGTGAAAATACTAAGTGAGATGTCTGAGATTTTACTGCCTATGTTTTCTTATAGGATTTTTATGGTTTTGTGACTTACATTTAAATCTTTTATCTATTTTAAGTTTATTCTTGTGTATGGTGTAAGTTGGTGGTCTAGTTTCATTTTTTGCACGTACCTATTCAGTTTTCCCACTACCATTTATTGAAGAGACTATCTTTACTCCATTGTATGCTCTTGCCTCCTTTGTCAAATACCAATTGACCATATCGGCATGGGTCAATTTCTGGGGTCTCTGTTCTGTTCCATTGGTCTATTTGCCTGTTTTTGTTCTAGTACCAGGTTGGTTTTTTGTTGTTGTTTGTTTGTTTGTTTTTTAATTTTATTGTTGCAAGTATTACATATGTTCTCCTTTCTCCCTCTCCCATTGAGCTCTTCTAGGCTGCCTCCATCCCCCGCCTAGGCCTTTACCACCCTGTTGTCTGTGTCCATGGGTTATGCATATATGTATACAAGTTCTTTGGTTGATCTCCTCCTACCCACCCATCCTTCCCTGCCTTCCCTCTGAGATTCCACAGTCTGTTCCATGCTTCTATGACTCTGGATCTATTTTGTTCATCAGTTTATTTTAACCCCTTATTAGACGTATCACTAGAATCCAGATGGTACCAGGCTGTTTTGATTAGAGTGGTTTTGTAGTATAGTTTGATATCAAGTATTGTGATTCCTCCTACGTTATTCTTCTTTCTCAACATTGCTGTGGCTATTCGGGTTTTTATTTTGATTCCATATAAATTTTGGAATATTTGTTCTAGATCTGTGAAATATGTCATTGATATTTTAATCGGGATTTCATTGAATCTATAGATGCCATTGGGTAGTATGGACATTTTATGATGTAATTCTTCAGTTCATGAACATGGTATATGGCTTCACTTGTTTGTATCTTCCTCTCTTTCCTTTTTTGGTGTTCTGTGGTTTCCCGAGTATAGGACTTTTACCTTGTTGGTTAAATTTATTTCCAGATTATCTTATTTTTTTTGTTGCAATGGTAAATGGGATTTTTTTTTTTTTTTTTTTAAGTTTCTCTTTCTGGGAATTCATTATTCGTGTATAAAAATGCAATCTATTTTCAGGTATTAAATTTGTATTCTGGTACTTTGTTAAAGTTATTTACTAAATATAGCAATCTTTTGGTAGAGTCTTTTAGGGTTTTCTATATGCAATATATGTAATCTGCTAATAATGATAGTTTTACTTCTTCCTTTCTAATTTGGATACATTTATTTCTTCTTTCTGTCTGATCTCTGTGGCTAGGACCTCCAATATTACGTTTAATAAGAGTGGTGTAAACAGACATCTCTGTCTTGCTTCTGATCTTAAGGAAAATGCTTTTAGTTTTTGACCATTGAGTATGATGTTTGCTGTAGGTGTGTCATATGTGACCTTTATTTTTTATTATGTTGAGTTATGATCCCTCTATTCCCACTTTCCTGAGAGTTTTTTTTTTTTTAATCAAAAATGAGTGCTGGATTTTGTCTAATGCTTTTTATGTGTCTATTGATATGATCATATGATTTTTATCTTTCATTTTGTTTATGTGGCATATCACATTTATTGATTTGTGAATATTGAACCATCTTTGCATTCCTAAAATAGATCCCACTTGGTTATGGTGTATTTTTTTTTTTTTTAATGCATTGCTGGATCCTAATTGCTCATATTTTGTTGAGGATTTTAGCATCCACATTCATCAAGGATTCATCAAGCCAATAATTTTCTTTGTTTGTAATATCTTTATCCGGTTTTGGAATTAGGATAATGCTAGCCTCATATAAAGAGCTTGGAAGTCTTCCCTCCTCTTAAATTTTTTGGAAGAGTTTGAGGAGGATAGGTGTTAATTTGTATTTGAATGTTTGGTAAAACTCACCTGTGAAGCTACTGGGTCCAGGGCTTTTGTTTGCTGGGAGTTTTTTTTTTTTTTAATTTTTATTATTACTGCTTCAATTTTATTAGTTGCTATTGACCTATTCAAGTTTTCTGATTCTTCCTGATTACTTTTTGGCAGATTGTACTTAGGGTTTGTCTATTTCTCTCAGGTTGCCCACTTTGTTAGTATATAGATGTTCAAAGAACTTTCTTACAATTTGTTATTCCAGATTCTTAATTTTTAAAAAAATTAATAAAAGGTTATTACTAAATAATTAGTGTTTTTCTTGCTTCCTAAGCCTCTACAGATAATGAAGAACTTCTGCAGTTTCCACTGGAACTCTGTTCAGATTCACTTCCTTCTCATCCTTTTCCACCAGCTAAAGGTTGGTTAAATAAGGGAAATGCAAACCCAAATCTTAGTTTCTAGTGTTTTTTACTTGCTTCATTATTGTAGATAATCTTAGAATCTTGAGATGAAGATTTACTCTTCATTCTTTCATTGTTATGTTCATATTTATAAAAGGGGGAAAGTAATATTCTCGTTTTAATTTCTCAAGTAATGTCAGCACATATTATTAAAATAATTTTTCATATGAGACTCTATTTTTATATATCAAATGTATTTTTATTTTCAGAGATTTGAATTTCCCATAGTGATTTATTTGATATACTTGAAATATTATGTTAAATTTATATTATGTTTGCTAATTTTTTTCAACAACAATTGAACCTTACAAAAATATTCATTTTGAAAATGACAACAAACTACTTATTTTCTCCAGATGTATTTGGAGAGGTTTTGGGAGACAGCAGTAATGTGAGAAAGGACTGTGTTTTTGTCTCTTAGGTATCTTGGATACAATTGAACATTTTTAGGTACTTACAAGATACTGCCGTTTTTTCAAATACAAAATGATCATCTCTTAATAACAGTGCATCTACTTAGATCTAACACTCTTTGGAGAAAATGGTAGTTTTTTTTTCATTTTTCTTCTGATTTCAGTGCAATTTTTATTACAAAATTTATAGAATTATTATACTTCATAGCATTACATATATAATAAATGTAGTTTGTGTTTTTCCTAAATGTTTTATTCTGAGAAATGATACATCTGTTATTCAAAAAAAAACATTGACTTTTCTTATTTTTATATTTTATAATACAAGTGAAATTATTTCATGTTTTCTACTTGTCAGGTATATTATCTGATACCAAATTAGATGTAATATGGAATAGTTTTATACTCACATTGCATGTATATTAATAATCTTTACTAAATCAGTGCAAAGCCTGTCCATATAGATAAGTAGATCCCGTCTCTTATTTTGAAGTTGGAAAGATGAGGTACTTTCAAATTCTGACTTTCTGACATGGTAACTGTGGTCCTTTTCCCTTTTTGTCTAAATTAAAATTCTAATTTAGAACTCCATGGAGAATTTTTGCATACTTCAACTTTCTTGAAAGGATAGAGAGGAAAAATCAAATCCAAAGATAATCTGAGTTCAGCTTTATAAAATAAATATAGCTCCCAGAATAAAAAGTAGAACTGTTAAGAATCTCCCTTGAACTGACTAGATAGGTTTTTTTTAAAAAATACCTATTTTATACAGAAATGTGTGTTTAATGCAGGGTTAGTTTTAAACTATTTTTAGGTATCATTTTTATTCATCCTTAGCCTGAAATGTGTGGGGCTGGGTGGAGAGAGAGAACTAATTAACAAAACAAAGAACTAATTAACAAAAAATATTTCATCAATTGCTAATCTATTGGAATATGTATGTGTTCTTGGGGTTCCTGTTAGCTGTATTTTACCATGTTACTAGCTACTGAGTTCTGTAGATCAAATTTAAACTCTTAAGTTTGCTTTATCTGTGTTGATTACACAGTATCTGCAGTCCTTTTTCAAAGGTCATTATAACCAGCATTTCTTTCTTCTTTTTAAAAAAAATATATTTTATTGATTTTTTACAGAGAGGAAGAGAGAGGGATAGAGAGTTAGAACCATCTATGAGAATCATCAACCAGCTGCCTCTTTCACACCTACTGGAGATGTGCCCATAACCAAGGTACATGCTCTTGACCGGAATCGAACCTGGGACCTTTCAGTCTGCAGGCCAAAGCTCCATCCACTGAGCCAAACCGGTTTCGGTTAACCAGTATTTTTTGTCATTAGTATATTTTGTATAAATTATACTGTGTGAACTGAAGAATAAGGAAAAAAGAATTAGATTGGAATAAGTAATATCTGAACAATCCTAAAATATTTGCAATTCAATTTAAGGAGTGTAGAGAAGGGCCGTAGGTGGAGTAATAAAGCAACAGACCTGGGATCTCTTCTCAGTTCTGCTACTCAGCGGTGTGAGACTTGAGGCCAACTTAAACCTCATTTCCTCATCTGTGAAACGTGAAAGGATTAAGGTTCCCTCTAGCCTTTAAAATTCTCCAATTCCCTGGGTTTCTGTAGTTTGTGGTTCTTCAGTTAACATATTCCCATTACTAAAAACAAATCAAAGGCTAAATTATGCCTATGGTAACACTGAACTTAAAAATTTCCACATAGCTTCTAATTAGTTAAACCAATAATTTTAAACCATAGTGTTTCTTCAGAGGTGCCTCACGACTTCCCAAGAGGCAGGGTAGAAAGTGAGGGAGCTGAAAAGGGTTGGGGATGTGAGGGGATAGGTCTCTGGACCCCCTACTGTACCTCTGAACTAGAGCAGCTCTGATTCAGTGTGTTTCTGGGAATCTGCTTTTTATATGTGATTTTGTTTGAAGAAAGAAAGGGTTTCAAAATTGGGAAATAATGGAATCAGATCATTTCACCTTTATTATCATTGTCATCACCTTCATCTTGTTCATAATGATCAACATAATCAAAACCAGTACTAATGTGTATAAAACTTTTTATACTAAGTGCTTAACTGAAAAACCTGTGTGCTTTTCCATGAATATTGCATTTCAGAATCATCAGTAAGCACTAAAAAGTTTATCTGTACCTGTTGTAAACAGTTTTGCGAATTGTGGTTTATGTTGCATGCTTATTTATTGTGTTTGTTCCCTCAAAGTCTTTTTAGGAGAACATGGGCTATACCAAATATATTTGAAAAAGTTATTTTAAAGAAAGTATTTTCAAATATTAGAGGATAGGATGAGTTTTGTAAAGATCCTAAAAATGTCATAATGTTATAACATGAATGTAGCAACTGGGCATTATAATATGAAGAAAAAGCTTTGCATAGAATATCTGGAAAAAATTAAGCATAACAATTCAGAGGAAACAGGCAGGAGAGGGCAAGGTAAGAGTGCTAGGAATAAATGTTCAAAAATGTCTCTACTTTTAAAAAATATTTTTATTGATTTCAGAGAGGAAGGGAGAGATAGAAATATCAATGATGATAGAGAATTAATCATTGATTGGCTGCCTCCTGCAAGGCCCACATTGAGGACCGAGCCCCTAACCTGGGCATGTGCCCTGACTGGGAATCAGGAATTGAGCCATGACCTCCTGGTTCATGGGTCAATGCTCACCCACTGAGCTACATGAGCTGGGCTCTTCTCTGCTTTTCTATATGCAACCCACAGAGGCTTAAAAGTCAACTACTAATACTAAGAAGTAAATAAATATATATAATTTTTATAGTTTTGTTAGTTCAGTTAGCTAAACTGATGGAACTTTTCTTTTTTCTTTTTAATATATTTTATTGATTTTTTACAGAGAGGAAGGGAGAGAGATAGAGAGCTAGAAACGTCGATGAGAAAGAAACATCGACCAGCTGCCTCTTGCACACCCCCCACCGGGGATGTGCCCCCAACCAACGTACATGCCCCTCACCAGAATCGTACATGCCCCTGACCAGAATCGAACCTGGGACCCTTCAGTCCACAGACCGACGCCCTACCATTGAGACAAACCAGTTTCGGCTCTTTTTTAATCTGAAAATTTTGGATTCTATCACAAATAGGATAATTTGTTAAAATGTTCATTTTCTTTTATGTTGACAAAAGTAGTTTTAAGAGCTAAGTTAAGCACAGTATATTTATTAATACTTCCATCTTTTCACTTGTAGATAAACCTTTTCTTATCCTTTCATGTTATTGGAAATGAGTGAATATTATGTGAAGAAAAGATGCTTCAATTATATGAATCCTATTTCTGTGTATAGAGTAAGCCTGGGCCTGAATTGTCCATCCATGTTCAATATTTTCTTCCATCTTTTGTTATATTTGGTTTTGTTTCTCAAGGTAACAAAATAGTTTGAAGTATGTCTCAAATTTATGGTTGTCTTGGTGTTACCTTGCTAGTTATCTTGATTTTTCAGATTTGAAATATTAAAAGGTGCTGAGCTGAAATAATTTCTTAAAGGACATTGTCATATGAAGGTCATCCAAATATTTTAATGAATACTGTGAGGATCATAGATGATGTGGCGTTGACATAAATTATTTTCACGTGAAGCTGTGTTACAAAAAAAAAGATGCCTATAGTGAATTTTTATGCCACTTTCATAGAGTTTTTCCTAACTATTAATATCAAGACTTCAGTTTTTCTCAAAATAATTTCAAGATATTTATAAAATGACATATATAGGAAAAAAGGGATCAAATATAGTAAAAATGGGAATCTGAGTGAATATAATTTGCGTGGAAAGTAAAAAATAAGTTAGTAAGATTTTTCTCATAAACTGTAGTTGATGTCAAGAATTTTAAACATTTAATTTTCATAAAAGATTAGCATGTTATTTTAGATGCATTTCTAAAGAAATAAATCTTGAGATATTAGATACCATATTGTAGGGTTTAAAGACTTACATTAATGACAAAAGTATGTATTTTATCCTATTATAAATAAATTTCAAATACTTTACAAATCTAATCTATAATAGGATAGTATTTTCATTAAAATTTTGAGAGTTTTAAGACTTGAAAAGTTTGATTAAATTGATCCTAGTTTTTATATACTGTTAGATAAAACTGTGTAAAGGAAAAGTTTTTATAATACCCACCTTGTTCCTGCTTTCATTTTGCTTATGCTGGCATGATTTCCTCATGCTCAGTGGCATAAGCTATATGCTGCCAAGATTACCCTTTTCATTAAGCAGCTGCTGACTAATGTGATAAGCATAGGCCAAAAATCTGGGTTTTAATATAAAAGAAAATAAGTTGGCTTATTCCTTTAATATGTTGTACTCCATAATTAGGTATCCACATCAGAAGTTTTTTTTTTTAATCTTTACTTTTATTGTAGTTTTATAAGAATTAGTTTTTCTTTTTGTTAAATCAAATTTGATTTTAAACGATATCTTAACTTTTTAAATTTAATGACCTCCCTCACATTATTTTAAACTAGCTATTAGAAATATAAATCTATGAAACCTTTAAAAT